AATAACAAAATTTCATCTCAATACTTTGTTATATACACTTTGTTGGCAATGACAGAGGTCAAACATTTTCTGTAAGTCTTCACAAGGTTTTCACACACAGTTGCTTGTATAGTGGTTAGATTTTTAAAAATATTTTTGAAAATCTCTCATGCTCAGTACAGTTGCATTTATTTATGAAAAATGCAGTAAAAACTGCAATATTGTAAAATTATTACAATTTAAAATGTTTTCTGTTTTAGTAGGCTATATTGTATATATTTGTGGAAATCATATATTTTTAAGGATTTTTTGATGGATACTGTTCTATTTAACATTCTATTAGTAAAAAAAGTGAACTATTAAAAATAAACTATAAAAAACTATTGCAATAAAAGTAAACTATTGCTATGTTCTGAATCCTAAACATGGTTAAACATGTGCAGTTGAAATAATATAAAATTAAATAAAAGAAAAACAAATAAATTGACCTCCAAAATGCTCATTATTAGTAGGGTTGTGTAGCGTCTGCGTAGGATCATGCATGTGCGTTGGACTGTTTATGGCTTAAAAGACCCCTTTTAGCCTTTTGACATTTGCATATAAATTACAGTTCTGGTCAGAAACTTTACGTTCGTATAGGGGTGTAAATTGCCAAATGGTTCTTCGCCTTCAAGTAAGATTAGAACCAGCCCCCACGAGCATCCTGCAATCTGATTTCAAACACATTCCACAAAGAGCTGTAAATGGCCAAACGAACACACACACACACACACCCAAACTAACACACACACACACATAAAGACATTTCTTTATTTTAGACTATAATTAATCAGTTATAATTGTATCTGGTATATGCATGTGTTGTGTGTACGTTCCCCGATTAGATTAGCCGAATTACCACTCGTTATTTGTATTAGTTAAAGCCATAAAACACTGATATTCAGGTGTATGTATGTATCTTTGGTTTAATCTATTCCAAATGATTGTTTCTTGGTATCAATGTTACCTGTTCTTCATCCCTCGGGCAATGACGTACAGTATGTGATTGTGAAACGCATCATATGACTCGCACGATATTTTGGGTTAAAACTACGGATATTCCAGACCGGCCATAAAGCATGCAAATAAGCCATAAACAAGAGACAAAGAAAGATTCTCCCGCTCAAAATCCATGTCTCTCATTGGCCAGTACACACAGAATAGGAACTCTCAAAAACAATTAGCCCAAAATAACTTGTCTCAGAAAACTTCTTCTGCCATGCCTGAGCAATCGATTTAAATATTTGTCCTCTGGTTCTCAGAAACGGACGTAAGAAGCATCATCACTGGCACCGCACGTGAGAAATAATTTCCCGAATGAGAAAATCCAACACATCTTTGTAGTAACGAGAGTGTCCATGTTGTTTTCACATTCCGACTTAAAAGCACAACTCTGGAAACGAGAGCATTTGAGGAGTGTGAATGCAGTAATTACACTTGCTCTAACTGCAGCAGGTAGCCTTCCGTTAACTAAGCTAAACATGCTTAAAATTAAAATGCCTAAAGCTAAACCTCCCTTTTATTCACATTTCTAAACCTGTTGTCCAACAAAAGAGAAAATTATAACCTTTTTACTCCACAACACCAGTCAAATGCTTCCTTTTGTGATCTGCTGAGGCTTCTTGTCACAGAATGAGGCAGAAAATATGTTATATATGCTACTTTAAAAATAATACATCGATTAGCAATAAATTAGGGTGACCATACGTCCTCTTTTCCCCGGACATGTCCTCTTTTTGGACCTACAAAAATGCGTCCGGCCGGGATTTCTTAATTGCCCAAAATGTCTGGGATTCGGCTGTTTTCTTAATCCCACTACTGCTGAATCTCTGACCATTGCCGCCTGCTCCCGCAACATGTGTTTCACTCCCGCCATTTTCGTGTCCACTCCTTTAAACTTTCTAATATTGTGTATAATTTTTGCTCATCAGGGAGCCGCTCTCAGGATGCGGTGTATTTAAATATTTTTGAATGTGTGTTTGCGCTGTTTACTTTCCCTTTCGATTTCGCGATCACACACACTCTGTCCTTAATATTTTCAAGAAACGGCTGAAAACACATCTCTTTCATCTTCATTTAACCCTCTAACACTAGCACTCTCTATTCTAATGCTACTTCTAATTTTATCTGCTTGTTTTTTTTTATTAAAAAACTTGACCCTCTAACATTTGCACTCTCTACTCTATTTCTGTTCTAATGGCCAATCCATGATTTTTGGGGGGAATTTTTGTTCATGTATTTATTTTTTAATAAGTATCGGTTCAGGCACCGTTTAGGCACCGGAACCGTTTTAAAAGTATCGATTTGGCACCGGTATCGAAAAAAACCCAAACGATACTCAACCCTAATTATTAGTGGCCTTCTAAACAATAAAACATTATTTATATATATTGTGTGTGTGACCGCTTTAATGAAGAAGTGTGCAATTTCTGCACCACTAGCTTAACGAAAAACGAACAAAAATAATTATAATAATAATAAATAATAATTCATTACATTTATATAGCGCTTTTCTAGGCACTCAAAGTGCTTTACATTGTCAGGGGGTATCTCCTCATCCACCACCAGTGTGCAGCATCCACCTGGATGATGCGACGGCTGCCATAGTGCGCCAGAACGCCCACCACACACCAGCTTATTGGTGGAGAGGAGACAGAGTGATGAAGCCAATCAGCAGATATGGGGTTTGTTAGGAGGCCATGATGGTCAGAGGCCAATGGGCAAATTTGGCCAGGATGCCGAGGTCACACCTCTACTCTTTTCGAAAGACATCCTGGGATTTTTAATGACCACAGAGAGTCAGGACCTCGGTTTAACGTCTCATCCGAAGGACGCTGCTTGCTGACAGTATAGTGTCCCCGTCACTACACTGGGGCGTTAGGACCCACACAGACCACAGGGTGAGCACCCCCTGCTGGCCTCACTAACACCTCTTCCAGTGGTGTTAAACAATTATAATATTGTTTAGTTGATAATTGTTTACTTTAGATAATATTTTTTTAAATCAGGTTTTCTAAACATTCTCCTGCCTGCCATTGGTTGGATAAACATCAACCACACCACTGGTTGAGCCACTTGCAACTTGAAGAGCATTGTTTTGATAGCACACTTTTTGAGGACTTTAAGCTGGAATAAGAAAATGTGTTTTCACAATGGCTCTCTGAGTATGAAGGGATTTTTGTAGTATTTCAAAACCGGTAGTATTCACCCGTCATCCACCTCCTGCCTACAATTCAGCTCATTTTGTTTATTTCTAACAAAGATATGTAAAATGGTTTAGACTGCAGCCAGTGACCGGTCGGTGTGTTCGGGCTGATGGAGATTAGATGACAGCTCTGGGATCTGACTGAAATGGCAAACTGACGTGAGCCCTGGAACATGAACGCTCAGAGCGATGCCTGTAGCTAAAGCTGCATCACACAGTTTAACATCCTGCTCTGCTGCTACCCTGGAGGACTATATGGGTCATAGTGGTGCTGTGGGGAAATGCGAGCACATTCGTGCAGTTGTCGAGCACACCTGGCAGCTAGAGGCTCCGTTTTGCTCTAATACACCCACTAAAAAAAATAGCCCCCAGGATGCATTCATACAGTATACTACAGATTACTCCACTCTGTTGCAGTTATTAGTACATTGCTAAAACAATGCATTGCCTTAATGAAGGTTCTGAACATATGGTTATAAATGCATACATGTGTTTCAGTATTATGATGCATGTTTCAATTACATATTGTGTGTGCATGCTTAAGTCTTTCCCAGGTAAAGGGGGAAAAAATCTTTTAAAAATCTAGTTTGTAGTTCTCTTTGTACTCATGTTGGTTTCAAGTGATTTTGTCATGTGGTGTAAACAAATCAAGTAAACAGTATTATATTGTTCTTACACCATGTTTACAATTTTTTTAACAGATGCATCTAAATATCATAAGTTTTTTTATCATATCATGAGTTAGTAATTAATAAATATCATTAATTTTTCGTAAGAACTTTAAAAAAAAAACTGAACTAAAAACCTTTTGACTTTGATGCACATTATTATATATTATTAGAGAAAAGTATCTAAAAAACATACATTTATGTATGTTATTATATATCTCAAGAATTATATCATATATATTAAGGCCTAAATACTTAACATTTTTCTTAAGAATCTTGTCATCTTTTCTCAGTTTATTTATTTAGTCAGTTGAGGCTTTTTTTTCCTTCACTGTGATATCAGGGCAAATTTGTCATCATGATATTTCCCCAAAAAATATTAAATTAAAATTTAATGCAGGATTATATATCTCAAGAATTATATCATATATATTAAGGCCTAAATACTTAACATTTTTCTTAAGAATCTTGTCATCTTTTCTCAGTTTATTTATTTAGTCAGTTGAGGCTTTTTTTTTCCTTCACTGTGATATCAGGGCAAATTTGTCATCATGATATTTCCCCAAAAAATATTAAATTAAAATTTAATGCAGGAATATAAAACATGCTCATTGTAGAAGAGGAGTATTCAAATCACTGAATGTGTGAAGTGTATTTTTGAATCAATTAACAGGTAGCATCATGTCGTTGACCTGCATACAGCTCAAAGCAGAGTTGATAGCTTCCATCTGTAACTTCTGACCTGTGAAATAAGCTCTTTGAGCTGCTCTATTGATTGTGATTTTGATATGTCTGTAAAGCGTTTATTAGCTACCATTCTTATGATTGCTGCATGTGCTATGGTGTCTCTGGTGGCCCATGCTGCACAGAATTCCCTCACTTATCACCTCTGCTGTCCTAGTTAGCTTTTACACCACATTAAACAGCTTTTAAAGGTTTTATTTTCTTTTAAAGCTGGAAATTGAGATTTAGCAGTCTGTTTGGCACTCGAGCGTTTGTAGCTGCCAAGATCCAGTGTTCGGTTTGTATAACAATGCACTGGATTAACATGAGCTTTGTTCCTTTTCTGCATTTTAGGTTGACGGGGTTTCAACTTCCCGCCCCTATAGTCAGCACAGGACCCAGACTCACACTATGGCTGCTGTCAGACTACGCCGTAAGTGGCCAGGGCTTCAAAGCCGTGTTTGAAGGTAAGAATCATGCATTAATCTTCTATTTTTTTGTGAACATGTTCAATCTCTGATCTTTCGAGCAAACCCTGTAATTATGTAAAGTGGACTCTGTGCTAGCATGTGTGGCGTAAAAGTAGACTTTTATCTCATTTTATAGGCTAATTGCATTAATATGCACGGCCAATTTAAAGATTGAGAATCCGTGCACAAATTTCTTCTGGCTTCTCGTCATATTTCTTTTGATGTGAGTGCTTTATGACCCAAAAAGCAGCAATATTAATGCTTGCTTCAGAGCAGCAGCAAGGAGAATTAATCTTCGCTAATTTGATTAATTACCTAATTGATACTGTAGACTGATGGCAGGTGAATCAATTTCTCTGGGTTCATCTAGTTCAGCACAATACTAATGGAAAATATTGTTTGATTCAGATGGTTATCATGAACGTGGCCTATATGGACAAGCATTATGTTTTATATTTTCATATCAAGTGTTTATTTGCTTGTATCAATTTTGTCTGATGTTGCTTATGGTCGGTGGTCGATGTTCAATGTGTTTTTTTATGCAAAATGTGATCGAACAGTTCCAGTTTATAGATGGATGTCTAGAGTAGGGCTGCATATATATATTTTTCTTTTGGTGGAATCTATTTGCAAATTTTCTCATAAAAATTGTGGTTTTAAAATGTGTCTCCGGGTTCTCTCTGCTGTGTTAGTAGAACTGCACGATTGTGTTGTACATGTTTCTATTATTATTGATTATATATCAATATGACAATATTTCCAGTTATCCTTCTGCTATCCAATTAATAACTATCCATTTATTAAAAAGTCATTCAGTTGACAGAAACAACAAGAACAATATTAATAAGTTCTGGCAGGGTCTGGAATTGAGTTACAGGTTTTGCGTGACTGATTGTACAATTTGCTTGCTACTGCTTTATGTTGTAACAAACAAACATAACGAGCTGCTAGAGCAGGGGAAGAGGACAGGAGCATCCAGATCCCTGAGAGATGACCTACACCAGTATGGACAAGCCTTATCTCATCAATACGGTTCAGACTAATTCAGTCTGGCACCATAATTATGTGCTACTTCTTGTCACATGACCTTCTGTGGGTCTGCTGAAACACTGTACAGAATTAAAGAGTGATGTACTGTATGTATCACATGCCCTGACTTTCAGTAAAGTGAGAAGCCCAGAACTCTTATCAATAGCCGATGGCTGAATAGTGGTTTCCTTTCTGACTGTCCTTCACAGGAGTGTGAAGCCATGCTCATCAAGAAGTGCATCAGCATACCCAATCAACAATTTGTTTTATGCTATAATTATACTCTTTCCTATACAGTATGGAATTGTAATGCAGAGTTTTACACTTTATTTATGGCTCTCGGGGAACTGACTTGGCCGCTAAGCGCTCTTGGTGATCATGTGACCCAAGCTAGTTTGAGTCTGGCTTGTAGCATTTCCTGAACATTTCTTATTATTCTTCTCACCATTATTTCCCTGTGATTCCTTCTGAGTGTATACAATATTTATTTATTTATTAAACAAAACAAAAAAATCAATGCTTTATGTAAAAAATTATGGACAATGTGGCAGTCATTATTCCAAAATAAATCCCTGGATGCCATGGATGGATTTTGTCATGATGACTGGCTAACTGCATTATCCAGCTTATTATTTAAGTACTGAAATAAATAAATTGATATAAAATATTGATCTTTATAAATTATTTTATTAGGGCATTCTTGTAGCTCAAATGCACCTTAAAGGGGTGGTTTATTGCAATTTCACTTTTTTAATGTTAGTTAGTGTGTAATGTTGCTGTTTGAGCATAAACAATGTCTGCAAAGTTACGAAGCTGAAAGTTCAATGCAAACGGAGATATCGTCTTTTAAAATTCTAGCAGTTTAATGCCTACAAAAACAGCTGGTAGAGACTAAACAACAAATTACTTCCCGGGTTCGTGACATCACAAACCCAGATAAACCCCGCCCCCGGAAACACGCAACGAAGGGGGTGAGGCCAATCAGGCCATGCTGCGCTGCTTTAGAGAAGAGGAAGAGAAAACTAGAGGTGCATGTAAAATATATATATGAATCGCGATTCTGTCTTCTAATGATTCTAATGGATTCACAAGTTTCAAAATCAATGATCTAAAGCAGTGGTTCTTAATACTGTTCCTCGCGTCCCCCTGCTCTGCACATGCTCTGCATCTCTCTCTTTCTCTCTCATTCAGCTCAGCTCCAACAATGGACTGTTACAATTATACACTTATTTACACATAGCTATGAGAAGCAGTAAACATGGATGCGCGTACAGTTGCCGTACTGTATTAAAGCCTTAATCGGGATAAAACTGTATATTAAAAGCTAACATAAGCAGTAGCATTTACAAATAACATATCTAAATGTATAAGACGACAACAAATAAAAAACATTGGCCTACCATTAAAAGCCGTGCTTGCACAGGTTCTACGCAATCCTCTTCAATAATATCCTCTGCTTCTCAATCGGGCTCAAACTGATAAGCGATATTAATGACGCTGTTGTTTACAATACAATAGAGGTGAGGGGCGGGACGATTAGACGCACACTAGAGGCGGTTTAGCCAATCACAACACACTGGGCTAGCTAACCAATCAGAGCCCATTGCCTATTTCTGAGGGTGGGGCTTCATAAAAGAAGGAAAAGATCAGCCCGTTTCTCAGAGAAGGGACAGAGAGGTGTGGAATAAAGGTAAATTATGTGAAAAATAATGTGTTTTTTTTTTAAACGAAGCATTAACACATGTTAGACTGCACCCCATAAACACAATCAAGCCTAGAAAAAAAACAATCAACCACCCCTTTAAGTCCATTTGGATAAAAGCATCTACCAAATGCGTAAATGTAAATCAGTTGAGCAGAAATAGATGGAAAGTGATACAACAGATATGAAATCAGTTGCCTGGTACAACAAGCCCTAAAATGTAATTATTTATTTATTTACATTTTAATTATATATTCTCACACAGGTCATTAGTTGTTGCACTTTTCCATGGACGCCCCATTTCCTCAGAGGAAGGTGTCTAAATGAGCTCAGTATGTTTATGTTTTTGTGTATTACTAGGGTCTAAGTGTGAGATTCTGAGAAAAAAAAAATACTAATTTCAGCCGCTCTCTGCTCTTTTTAAAGCAGTGGAGTTGAGGGGGAAGGATAATGGTTATAAATGAGGGCTCTGCGTCTTCATTTTGCATCTGAATTCTTCCTCCTTATCCTCTTGAAAAAAAAGCCCCCCGGTGTGATGGTGAAACATTAGGGGCATTATGAGCAGTGCTATCAATTAACGCTCTCAATCAAGCCCCAGTGCAGCTGCCACTCTCCGTTAAGGGAGCCACCCTTGCACAAGCCCTGCGTTTTCTTCTCTGTTAGCTCTGGCGAGAACTCATATTGAACTAAAGCAAGAGCAATCTAACTCTGTAATGAAAGTCTGTATGACAGAGAGAAACAATCTCAATCACAGCTGGCTGAACAGATGACACCAAATTAAAAAAGAGGAGTAAAAATCCTGAACGAACCACTTGTGGTTTATTTAATGTTCCATATGTGGGCTTGAAATGTTTATATGTACATGTTGTTATTGTTAATGGACATTATACAGTAGAGCTGGGGGCGATATATCGAGTTTGTACGATATATTGGTATAATTTTTATAAACTATTTGATATGAGGCAATACCGCCTATATCGATAAACAGTAGTTTGATACGAGCGCATCTGAAAAATATTAGAGGACACAGAGTGAGCTGCTGTAGGGAAAGTGCATAATCCAATTTGTATAACATGAGACATGCTTATAATAACGGCTTTAAAATAACTCATAAGAAATAGTTTAAAGCGGCTCGCCCCGACATGATCTGACAGACTCATGTGCTGCTGACAGACACTACTTGTGCTGTTTATTGTGTTTGAGATGTGCTGTTTTCCTCAGTGCATAACTTACATTTCACAGGCATATTTTCCATCTTTAAATGTTGGAAATTCATATAAATATTTCCATTTTACTGTCAGGAGCGCATAGGCCTTCTGCATGTGATTCTCCGCTAAACTTCACAGACCTCTCTGAACCTGTGCCGCCCAGACAGAGCGCAATAGAATAGGAGCACAATGATTCTCACTAAAATATACATTTTGCTAAAATATTTGTAGTTGGACAATAAATGTGCTATGTGTATAATTTTAAACCTGCAAGTAAGTGTATTTTATGATAGTAACTGTACAGTGACTGTTGTATTGGGGTAATAAAAATATAATGCAATTAATCTGTGCTTTTGTTTGTATTTCTTTTTATCTTTAGTTTAGTGAATTTAACTACATATTTAAAAAACATTATTTTTGTTTTTAGATTGTAATGTTACAATGTAATGTGATTTTAGCCCCTTTTTTGCACATAATAGCCCATGGCCTACATGGTTACTTTCACCATATTTGTTTTTATTGTCTTTAATATAAACATTGTTTCATTGTTTCATTTTCAAGCAAGCAAGTTAGTTTTTTCCAAATCCAAATAGAAAAATGTAGCAAATATCGAGAAAAATATAAAAATGTGATTGTATTTGTATATTTTATTTTCTTATTTCCCACCATAACATAATTTCAACCAAGCGTCTAATGTTATCAAATATATTCAAAATATTTTCTACCATTTTTATTAAATGAATGCAAGGATGAATATATTTATTTTGATAATTTTTGTAATATGCATAAATATAAGAGTTTATAGTAATATACGGCAATATTTACAAAAGCAGTTAGTGACTTGAATGACTGACTTTGAATGTTTTTGAGTGATGATATCAGACAATGTTGTTGTTGTTATTACTAGGGATGTGCGCAACGACTAATTTGAACAAAAGTTTTGTCGTTTAAACAAAAGTCGATTAGTCTAAAAGCAAGAAACCCCCCCAAAAAATGGTAAGAAAAAAACTATGTGTTCGTGTAGCATATATAATAGCCGATATTTGAAATACAAACCC